CGTAAAAGCATTAGAACATTTGAAACAATAGGCACTCAATTAGCAGAAGCACCGTACTACTTTTACAAGAAATCACCGCAATAGCTTGATTTGTTCCCACCTTAAACGGCTCTAACGACCTCCTAGACCAATGCCCATGAGATTGATGGGAAGAAAAAGAACGATCTTTGCTTGCACCGCACATGCTTAAGAATGCCATCGAATACCAAAACGTATACCGTTTGAAACTTGCTTGGCTTAGAGAGTCATTAAAATCATGTTATAAATACCTCTGAGGCCACCGAGGTGTCTGTCAAATTGATTGCTCGAATAAAACAATTAGTCGCAAAATGAGCGTGTCCGGTGTTTGCCACTATTAAGTTGTTTCGCGCTGGAGTTGTACACCAGGGAAGGTAGGTTGAGGCTTGGGCGCATGGGATCAGATGTAGGTCTGCGCATGTACGTTCCAACATTCGCGAGGAATGTAAATGAGTTCAACGGTTTCTTGTATGGCTCCATCGGATGAGTTGAAGTGCATTAGCCGAGGCTATTGTTCTAGTGATTCGTCTGGAAAAATGATATCCTAACTTATGAGGAAATGTTAGTTATCTGAAACGATATTCTTGAAAATATTTTTCGAATACGGAAGATATAATCACCGACGAATGAGACAATTTTCTATGTCAAGATCAAAACGGAGGAGATCGAAAGAATAAGTATTAGTAGAATTCTTTCACAAATCGCTTCATTTTGTGATGGATTTCTCAAGTTTGATCCAGCCGATAATTTTAGATGAGGATGTAGATGTCATAGACAATTATGAACCTTCGCCGGTATGCTAATCTAAATTTTCCGGGAATCATTCCAAACTTTGTGTTATGTTAAATCTTCACTAGCCGGATAACGTCCGTGCGGATCACTCGCGAACTAGTTAGCGTGCGTTCGGATTAATGCTAAAAGAACGTTTAGTGACACTGAACTTTATTGTAAAAGTGAAAAAGGAAACACTAAACCGAATCAAAGCGTATGGACTGTATGTTATTTTTAACCGGCGACCGACACAACCAAGATGCGGGAGACAACTGAACTTTAGATCTGATCTGCTGTACATGCGACAGTACTCTCATAACGAAGATCCACCACTACTATCCCTATCAATAGCTGTTATCAATATTATACACCTATTCGAGAGTGGTATATAGGTACACATGTACCACAACATGCGACAAGGAGAAGAGAGATCAATCTTATACTCTCCAGTTTTATATGAACTGATCGTTCAGTGAGTTCTATACTCGTCTATACTTATTTATACGTAACATACTGGCGGCCTTGAGTTTACTCAACACAAACTTGATACTATTTTTAGAACAATAAAAATAATGGAGACCACAAAGACAATGATAATAGTTTGTTTTGATCGGTTGTTCGTCACAAACGGCTAGATGACCTGTTGCCTTTCTACCGGGCTCGTTTCTACTTCGTTACCTTCTGCTTATTTATTTGTTATTCTAACTGGTGTATTAATCGGACGGTCCCTCTTGGATTCTCCCTGGTGACGATGTCCACATTACCTAACACGATGAATCCGTGCACTGATATCATGAGTTAAGTAGTGTTGGAGTCCGACACTGGAGACTGCAACGTAGGTCCTCGATGTTCCGATTCCTGTCGAAGAGAAACATGGCTGTAATCCAATACATGGGCTTACAGAGGAGACACGTAACTCATGGTTCGGCCCCCTGGCGTTAAAACGGATGGAATATCCATTAGTTGCCAAAGTTTGCCCGTTGGGGGCATAAAATACTCATCTGCTGGGCAGCCACTTGCTGCTGATGACACGATGCGATGAACGGTAGAAGCGGTGTCGAGCTGAACCTCAGCTGAGATGACATCTGTTGATTGATGACACTCCTTCATTGGGCTAGGGAGTACGAATGGCTAGCGATTGTTGGGTATCCACATCTCTGACGACGAAAAAACAAAGCAGTAGGTTCAAACGGAAAACACAGGTGAGTTGAACGTAACTTGAGTGTTGCCCCCAGGCATCCACGGCAAGATTTGTGCCGTCAGTTGCCTAAAGTGCCCCAACGGGGGTTTAAATACTTAATTTCTACTTCACGGGTAACGATTAACTGCTGCTAGATTACTTATTGAGCTTCTTCAACCTGCGGCTGATTGTCCCGAATGGGGAGAATGCAGATCTTCTGGATTCCTCGACGGAACGTTCCGTACTGCGTGCGAATGGTGACAACCCTAACGTTGCCATCCGTCCCGGGATGAATCTCCGTGATCCGTCCTAACTGCCAGTTCAGCGGAGGAAGATTGTCTTCCTTCAGTAGTACCATTGTTCCGATATGGAGATTATTCCTTCTTCGCGTCCACTTATTTCGGTTGTGAAGATCTGACAAATAATCAGTCGACCAACGCTTCCAGATCGCTTGGCTGAACTGCTGCATTCGTTGCCATCTGTTCAATCTGTTCTCTGGAATTTCCGCGAGACTAGGCTCCGGAATTGCTGTAAGTGGACGTTGAACTAAAAAGTGCCCAGGAGTTAACGCTTCTAGATCTCGATGATCGTTGCTTAACGGGGTGATCGGCCTGGAGTTAAGGCAGGCTTCGATCTGTGTGACAATAGTCAGCATCTCATCTGGACGGAGCACATTCGTTCCAATTACTCGTCTCATGTGTCCCTTGAGAGACTTCACGGCCGCTTCCCATAATCCACCAAAGTTCGGTGATTTGGCAGGAATAAACTTGAATTCTATCGCTTCCTTGGCTGCTTCTGTCACTATTGCGTTCCTGAATTGCTCAGCTTGGAAGAGTTGATGCAGCTCGCTTAGTTCTCGTCGAGCTCCAACAAAATTCGTAGCGTTGTCACAGAAGATCACTTCGGGCTTCCCTCGTCTTGCAACGAATCTCTTCAGGGCAGCTATGAAAGCTTCAGTCGTAAGATCTGCTACCATCTCTATGTGGACGGCTTTAACCACTAAGCAGACGAACACGCATAAATAACACTTCACCGGAGCTCCTTTACGTGAAGGGTAACAAACGTCGAACGGACCGCAATAATCGATGCCAACGCGTGAAAATGCAGGAGCCGGTGAAACTCGCTCCATAGGCACATCTCCCATCAACTGTTCATGAACTCGTGGCCGTGCCTTGAAGCAGGTTACGCATTCGTGGATCACTCTCCTTGCCAGGTTTCTCCCATATAGCGGCCAGAACCTTTCCTTCATGCATGAGAGCATCAGTTGCGGTCCTCCGTGGAGAAGTCTGTGATGATAATCAACCATAATAAGTTTTGTTAATGGATGCCTGCTGTCTAGCACCATCGGATGTTTTCTTCCAAACGACACTGGAGCATGGCGAAGTCTACCGCCAACATGAATCAATCCATGTCTCAATTCAGGATCCTTCGTGTGCAATCTGGACCCTGGCTTGACTTCACCCTTTGCTGCTAGATCCGAAAGTTCAATTGGAAAACATTCAGATTGTGCCAGTTTCACTAAAGCGATCAATGCTCCTTCGTGTTCCTTAGCGCTGAGTACTCCTGTTCTTCTAAAGGTTCGGTTTCTTGGTTTGCAGTTGTATGCAAAGCGTAGCATCCATGCCGTCAAACGAATCAGCTTAAGTAGCGACGAGTGCATGGTAAATATTTCACTAGGAGGTAGCATCTGCAACGCAGCCGTAACTAACGGCTTTTCCTCCAACGTTGCAGAATCGAAGTGCTGATCGGAAGCTTCGTTGACCCGTGGCCACGCATTCGACTCCTCTTGCAGCCACTTGGGACCATTCCACCATATCGAGCTTTCTGCAAGTTGTAACGGTGTTACACCTCGAGAGATAATGTCAGCCGGGTTTTCAACGCCAGGCACATGGTTCCAAACGCCTTCTCGAGTGATGTGCTGAATTTCCGACACTCTGTTGGCTACAAATGCTTGCCACCTAGATGGATGCGACGATAGCCAACATTTTACGATGGTCGAATCAGTCCAGAAGTAACTGTTCGCTGCAATCCGAAGGCTCCCAGAAACTGTTTCGTACAAGTGCGCCAATAGTAAAGCTGATGATAATTCTAGTCTGGGTATCGATTGTTTCTTGTTCCTCCTGCTTAAATCTTCCAATGGCGCCACTTTAGATTTGACCATCACCAACCGAACTGTAACCTTTCCCTCTTGTGTGACACATCGTAGGTAGATCGCTGCACCGTACGCCTTTTCTGAAGCGTCACAGAATCCGTGAAGTTCGCATGATATCACATTTTTGTCAAATGCAATCCAGCGGGGTACGGAAACTGAATCAAGTCGACCCAGATTGCTCCTGAACTCCAGCCATCGTGATTGTAAGTCCGCGCTCAGCGGTTCATCCCAAGAATACTTTTCTCTCCAAAGTTCTTGGAGGAACATTTTCGCTTGAACGATGACTGGGCCTGCTAGTCCATAAGGATCGAACAGACGTGCAGACTCCGATAACACAACACGCTGCGTAATTGGGAATGATGGCTTCCAGTGTGGCATTTTGAACCAAAACAAATCTGATGCTGGTTCCCAGGTCAGACCAAGGGTTTTCACAGTGGAAGTCGAATCAATATCAAGGATCTCTCGCTTGTCTCGCAAATAGCTGGGAATGCCTTTCAGTATTGCCGGTTGGTTCGAATGCAACTTTCGGAGATTAAACCCAGCGGAATCGAGAAGAGATAGAATGTCAGTGCACAGTTGTTGGCCTTCTTTTACAGAGTGTGCTCCAGTCAGCATGTCGTCAACGTAGAAGTTGTTCTTGATGGCATTAGCTGCAACTGGATGAGTCTCTTCTCCTTCTTCAGCACATTTCTTCAAGCATCTGGTCGCTAGGTATGGCGCGGACGAAGTGCCGTAGGTTACCGTAGTCAATTGGTACGTGCGCAGCGGCTCATCAACGGACTCTCGCCAAAGAATCCTCAGAAGTGATTGATCTTGTAGGATGACGTTGATCATGCGGTACATTTTTTCCACATCGCCGACAATCGCGTACTTGTGAAGTCAGAAGTAGATCAGAATACATAGCAAATCCCTTTGTACCACCGGACCCACCATCAGCGCATCGTTCAACGAAACTCCTGAATCTGTTGCACACGACGCGTCGAACACTACCCTAAGCTTCGTCGTAGTGCTATCGGGTTTCATAACTGCGTGGTGGGGCATGTAATAGGTATGCCTCGGCTCATCTTCGTCGTCTGTTATCTCTTTCATGTGCCCCATCAACAAATACTCGTGAATAAATTCAGTGTACAGAGCCTTCATCTCCGGATTTGCATTCAAGCGTTTCTCGAGCGCCATGAATCGTTTGGTGGCTATTGCTTTTGATTCTCCCAACTGCTCCATGACATATTCTTTTTTGGGAAGTGTTACACGGAATCTTCCGTCATGATCCCTTGTTGTTGTTTGTTCGAAGATGGATTCACACGTGGATTCTTCGATGGATAGGCAGCTCTTAGTCCGGCACGTCTCTAGTTCCCAAAAACGTGCAAGCTGCTCATGGATCTCTTCAGTTGTTCCCGACGTTGCAACTGTAACGCTGAAGGTGGAAACGGGATTCTCGGATATTTCTCCAGCCATTATCCAACCAAGTTTGGTATTGCATAAGATCGGACCAGTTTCCCAAAGTCTCATCTGCTCTCCCAGCAGTAGTTCGTAGAAGACTGACACGCCTAGGATTGCATCAACGGCGCTAGATTCGAAGAAGCTTGGATCGGCGAGTCGGATATCAGCAGGCAACTTCCAAGAGCTGATGTCAATGTTGTGCTGCGGCAGGTTCAAGGTGATTCGAGGCAGGACATAAAACTTTACTTCTGTGGTCTCGAATGATGAATAGCGGGACAGGATCTTCGCCAACACCGATTGTTTGCACACCGTCGACGAATCACCAACACCGTTCACTGGCAAATTTTCACGGAACCGTTTGAAATTCAACCTTTGGGAAATATTTTCCGTAATCATGCAGATTTGTGAACCATTGTCCAACAATGCACGAACGAGGATCGTATTTCCGGAGCGGTCAGCAAGTTTCACGATCGCGGTTGACAGGAGTGCTGTGTTTCGCTGACTTTGAATGTTGTGTGAAGTAGCAGTGTGATGACTGGTGGATGGCGTGTTTGTGGGAGGTGGCTGTCGTGTAAATTGCGAGGTAGTGGGTAGGACTGGTGGTGTTTGTGGATTAGATTGAGTATTATTCGTCCGGGATTGGCAATGAGATTGCGAGTGCGATTGCTGTTGCACCTGATACGGTGGACGAGGCTGTGTTTGAGGGTTCGCGTTCACCGCTTGAGGCCTGTTCGGGTTGTTCTGGGGTTGACTCTGGGTGTTAGAATTGGGAGGAGCGTACGGGTGTAGTAGATAATGGTGGCGTTGTCCACACTTTGCGCAGGTACGTCTGGAACAATCCGCCACAAAGTGTCCAGAGCACAGACAATTCAAACATAAACCGAGTCTGCGAATGATCATTTTTCTGTCGACTACCCTCATTTTGCTGAACCGGCGACACTGATCAATGCAGTGCTGTCCCCCGTTGCAGATTTGGCAATTGCTTGTAGATGGTATAGCAGTATGGAGTGCAGAGCTCTTGAATGGTCGTCTTTGCTCAACTCCGCATCGGCTTGACGTAGAATGTAGAATTGCACAGTGCTGCTCAAGAAACTCCGCCATTGCTGCATATTGAGGAATATCTTTGGATGCATGGTGTGTCTCCCAGTGGCGGAGAGTTGCGGTATCAAGCTTCTGCGACAGCATGAATGCCAGGATCGTACTCCAATTTTCAGTGATCTCCCCCAACTTCGCCAACTGTTGTAGATTGACCTTGAACGTCATTAGGATGGTGTTCAGAGTTTCAAATGATTCCGACCTCATTGCTGGAACAGCAAACAGTGCCTTCAGATGTTCCTGGGCTATCAGCTTGTGGTTCTCGTACTTCGTCTCAAGAATGGTCCAAGCAATATGGTAGGTTGCAGCGGTAACTTGAACCTGATTAATTTGAAGCAGAGCATCATCTCGCAAAGAAGCTCTCAAGTAGTTAAACTTGTCCATAGTGCTCAAATCACCATTGTTGTGGATCAAAGATTTGAAATTGTCCCGGAAATTAATCCACTCCTGCAGTTTGCCAGAAAACGTAGGCAATTTCAGCTCTGGGTATTTCATACGAGATGTTTGAAGTGGATTGGCAGCCACTTGTTGGCGTTCTGCAACAATTCCAGGATTTCTCGGAAGCTTGACAAGCAGTGCAGATTTCAGACGAAAGTAAATATTCTCGAAATCCTTGTAGGCACGACTACTGTCAGCACGAGCATCAGCGTTAGTTGTACCGGCAACGTCATCGCGAGCGCCCTTGGAAGTCTTCGTATCTTCAGCCTCATCTAGAATCACGTCGATTACGAGACGACCGCGAGTAATCGGTTCAATTCCTTTAACTCTAGATTTAAGACATGAATCATGTATAATGCAAATGATAACTCGGCTCTGTAAAGTTTATTCGATTGAGCCTGTACAAATAAATTAATAAAAAAAAAAAAAAAAAAAATCACGTCGATTTCTACTCTAACGGTACTAAACTTGTCGAAGATTTCATCCAGTTTCATCAGACGCAGCTCAACTTCATCCTTATCGCGATCCTTTTGATAGTTGTCCACAAACTCTTGCACGTTTTCCAACGACGCCTTCAACAGCTTTTCCTGCTTCACCAACTGCCTCAGATCGGAGGAGGGCATCCTTAAAACTTCAACACTACACTTCACTACAGAACAGAATCACTCCCGAGACCTCAAGCAGAACGAATTGACAGAGTTGACAGCCCAATTATCAACCACTTAAATGTGGGAATTTTTCATATGGCAAATCGCAACGGAACCATGTACTAAATCATCAACCGGAGAAACTCAAAATATATTCCCCACAAATGCAAATAAATTTTGTCCAAACTCGCAATATAATACGGCAAGCGGAACAATGCGCCTTTATCTTGCTGGCGTCACATGCAGACCACGCCAAGCCAAGCCACCTCAACCACACGATCACACACACTCTAGCTACTTATCTGATTCTTAGATGATAACCCTCCGGGGTTGGATATGACGACGAAAACACAACATCCAGGAATCCAACCAACTTGGTTAAACGTATGCTGCGTATTAATCACACAGGTCACTATATTCCTTCTGGTTGGCAGCAAAAAACCATCGACTACGCGACCGGTACCGGTACCGGTACCAAAATTAAAGCTCGCTGATCCTATATCGAGTACACTGACCGACGAACAATAGTCTGACCGTACAATGTATTCACGCCACGCCGCACTATTCTAAGAACGTGGTCCCGCGGATTCACCGTATCCGGCTCGAAGGACCAAAATGTTATGTTAAATCTTCACTAGCCGGATAACGTCCGTGCGGATCACTCGCGAACTAGTTAGCGTGCGTTCGGATTAATGCTAAAAGAACGTTTAGTGACACTGAACTTTATTGTAAAAGTGAAAAAGGAAACACTAAACCGAATCAAAGCGTATGGACTGTATGTTATTTTTAACCGGCGACCGACACAACCAAGATGCGGGAGACAACTGAACTTTAGATCTGATCTGCTGTACATGCGACAGTACTCTCATAACGAAGATCCACCACTACTATCCCTATCAATAGCTGTTATCAATATTATACACCTATTCGAGAGTGGTATATAGGTACACATGTACCACAACATGCGACAAGGAGAAGAGAGATCAATCTTATACTCTCCAGTTTTATATGAACTGATCGTTCAGTGAGTTCTATACTCGTCTATACTTATTTATACGTAACACTTTGCTTGGAAACTGCCGCTTTAAAACTATTCATGTTTTTCTCACATCTTTGAAAGCCCCTTCTGATAGCTTTCCAAACTTATTCCGGAGACTTTACAAAAATTGTACTACACGTTCGTTCACACCGACTCAAAATTGAACGAGTCAACTCATGGATTTCGGAAGAGGAGTAAGGAAAAACTTCTCGAATGTGAGGTTAATCCATAGAGGTTTCACACAGTATATTAGTAGACTCCTAGACTGAGTAAGTTTTCTTTTTTTTAATATAATTACTTTATTTGTACAGGCTCAATTGAATAAACTTTACAGAGCCAAGTTATCCTTTGCGTTATACATTATGGCTGAACTCTTACTTAACGGGAAGGAAACTCCGCGTTAAATTTGACTCCTGTGTTTTTTCGACCTTCTGCAATACATCCGGTGTTCCCCAAGGAAGCAACTTGGGACCATTATTGTTCACACTGTTTTTCAATGACGTTGCTTCGAAATTAGGCTTGGACTGCGTGATCATCTACGCCGATGACCTAAAAATATATTTAGTTATTCGCTCAACTGAAGATTGCCACCATTTGCAACATCTTCTAGACCTATTTTCTGACTGGTGCCATCGGAACAAGTTAATTATTAGCGTACCGAAGTGCTCTGTTATGACCTTTCATCGTTCAAAACAACCGATATTGTTCGATTATCGCATCAAGGGTACTTCACTTAAACGAGTTGAAGTGATTACTGATCTCGGAGTTGTGCTGGATCCAAAAACTGACGTTCAATTCTCACTACACTTCGGCGAATCGACAGTTGGGCTTTATTTCGAAAATTGCAAAGTATTTTACGGATCCATATTGCTTGAAATCCTTGTATTGCACGCTGGTACGGCCAATTCTCGAAACCGCTTCTGTTGTTTGGACTCCACATGATGTTTCCTGGACCTTAAGGATTGAACGTGTCCAGCGACGATTCATCCGACTAGCATTGCGTCATCTACCTTTGCGCGATCCTTTGAACCTCCCTGCCTATCCCGATTGATGTAGACTGTTGGGCATGGACACCCTTGAAAAAAGGCGTCACTTGAACATCACTGAAAATAATAAATTACTAAAAAATTCTATCTGATGTTCTTTGGATTTCCCAGAACATTTCTGAACTGAAAAGACCAACCAGCCTAAGGCCCATCAGCCTAAAGGTACTAATAATCTCGGAACTTTGCTGAAGTATTCGAAAATACTCTGAGTTTCTCGAACCTTCTGATAATTAAAGTTAATTGAACGCCTTGAGGTTCTCTGATTTCCCCTTATGTTCTCGAAATTCTCCTGAAGTTTTTGGAACTGTCGTGGAATAGATAAAACTGTTCTTAAAAATTTCCCTGAAAATCTCTAGAATTTTTGTAAAGTTGCCGAACTATGTTTGAAGTATTTTAACTTCCAAAAAGCTCTGAACTTCGTTTAAATTTCCAGAACTTCTTAAATTTTCTGGAAATTTTCCTGAAATTCATGGAGCTGTCTGGCATTTATCGAAACTAACACATCCATAAACATCACAAAAGTCCGGACTGAAGCTATTGAGGCTCTTATCTCTGAGGTTCTTGACTTTTTATAAGAACTCTGAATATCTGGATGGAAACTGTTAGACATTTTAAAAGCTCCTGCAGTTTTCCTAATGAGTTCGTTCCGTGTAATATTCTCGGGCCATTGTAGATTCAAAGTTTCAATCGGCCCAGTGTTTCCAAACTGCTCAGCTACTCCATCATCCAATAGTGTCAGCTGTGAACCTTCATCCACGAATGCACGTCCAACTTACATTTGTCTCCATACAGCGTTACTGGTAGAATCCCGAAGAATTAATCACGTAGCCTCGATCGTTAGGCCTCGAATGAACTCCTTTGGTTGACCTTCCAGTCGGTGTGTCATCCATCACTTCCAACGCTAGCTGCACCAGCGAAGAAATGAACGATCCAAACGTCTTAAGGTTCACTTCCTCTACGGCACTCTTGAATGCTGATCACTTCAAACGCTAATCGACAGGAAGATTTCCTACAAGATCGAGAAGCAGCGACGGATTCGTCAGATGTGACTGTTTTGACACGTTTTGACTGCGTTTTAAATGCTTTTTGAGTACCGTAAAACGGGGTAACTTTGATAGTTTTTTTGAAGTATATTCTAAATATTTTCTACAACAATGAATGTTTTTCAATTTTTTATTTTTTTAAACAAGTACTGGGAATCCTAGAGTCAATTCTTTGGCAACACGTTTACCAGGAATTATCGCATTTGCACTATTTTTATTGTCTTATGACCGAACATCAGATTTTTGTTTCGGGGTTACTTTGATAACACTCGATGAAATTAGAAAACCATGCGAGAATCGCAAACAATTTTGATCAAGAAATAAGAAACTTTGAATGAGTATATAACCAGAAACATCATAACCAATAAAAAAAACAATATTGCATTTGTCATGGCTTTATAGAAAATAAATTTAAAAAGTGATTGTTTGAGATCAGGCGAAAAACAAGAAATTTTTTTTTTTTTGAGGTATTTAGAAAATATGTAAAACATACTGCAAAAAACTCTATACGATATCAAAGGTAATACCGTAAGCTACAAAATGGAACCAATATTTCCGATTCGGAAATAGTGTTGAGTGTAAATTTAATCATTATATTCTACTATCAAAGTTACCCGCATTATCAAAGATACCCCGTTTTACGGTACCGCCCGAAGTGCACTAAATGCAGTTTTGGGCGATGCGGGGATCACTGTTGGTTTGCATTCTTCAGGTGTGCCACCAGATTGTCAACCGCCATACCTAAGTCGACTATGCTTTCCAAATTTTTCCATTCTTGGAGGAGGAAGATAACGGATTTTCTCGGTGAGCGTCTTAATCAATGTTTCTGGCCGACCATCGCGTAACTACAAATTCTTGATAACATGAGGAGAAAGAAGTCTGCTGCGCACCATTTCCAATTCAGAACTCTTCAGGCAGCGTTGTAACCTAATCAGATTTTCATTATGGGAGAATCCACACGTAGCTGTTGACCTTTCGAAGTTGCTGACCCAGATGGACCACTCCTCCGAATTACCCGAAAACACATAAAGATCTTTTCCCATCCCTTGACGTGCTGCTAACTGATGCTTGGTAAGGCCCTTCTCTGCTTGTTGATTGTTGCTATCTCGGTCACTATCGTCTTCGCTTGTCCCGGTCGGATCTTTGCGAGAATCCTTGGCTGCTGACGTGGACTTCTTTTTGTCTCCCTCTGTCTGCTCGCCGGATTTCTGCAACCACTTTTTCACTATAATTTTCTATTATATTTCATATATTTCTATATGTACAAATTAGATTAACTTATTCGCTAAAAATTCCTGTTTTCCTCACTTTTAATAGTTGTTTTTTAGTTGTAATTGCTATTTATTTTTAAGCAATATTTGCTATTTATTTTTAAGCAATAAACAAATTTTAAATTCATCACAAATTCACGTGACTTGATGGAAATGATTTGTATTTTTATCGAATTATTCCTCGACTTATTCTTCTTCTTCGCTTTAATTTTCGGACTGTCATCGTGACAAACGTAACGTCATGGTGCATCTTACACCGTTGTAGCATTTGGGGGCTTCTCGCCGTCACAATGATTTTGGTCATGCCCATAATTTTAAACATTTCAAAATATTTCATTTATCATAAACTGCATAAAAACAAATATCGGACTGGGACGTTTTGAGATACAGGCCGGACTCGACTATCCAGAGTATCGATTTTTTTTCACTACGGATAATCGAATCAAAAAAAAAAATCAAATCTGAAATTAAAGAACGTCAAATTTATACTTGTTTGTTATTTTATTTGTAGGGGCCTTGAGAAGAATTTCAAATTTCAAATTGAAGTGTTGTCAGAATGAATTTGGAGTTGTGACTG